ATTTCCTCACAGTGCACTTTCTGACTAATCAGACTATGCCTTGCCACTTCGGAGGTCTGCTTCGGAAACCATTCCGAAACTGCACGGGGAGTTTTTCCGAAAGCGGTTGTATCTCAAGAGTGGGCAAAAAAACCTTTTGAAGTGCGTAAATAAACACAAACCTGTAGTGTGTTCGCAATCTTTTGTACATTACAAGTTTGCCATCCTTTATCTGCAGTGAGCTCTTCAAGTACGTCTCGCATTACTCGTTCCAGTTCCCGATTGCAGCACATGAATCCTGAGAAGAAAAGATGGCTGTGAAAAAGATAATTTACGAAAACGACAGGCTTCAAAACCATTAGACGCGCTAACAAGAAGAATCCCACTCGAAACCCGAGAATGATTCAGAACATCGCAACGTAATAAAATGTTTAGTAAACTCTAACATATTTTAGAAACTCATTTATTCTAACAGTGACTGAGTAAGTCTACCTCGACTCTGCTCATGGATTTCTTTAAATTTTTTAAAATATTTCGAATTAAAACCGGAGTCAAAACAGAAAGAATAACGACTGGGGCATTACAATTCTTCCAAGGTGATCATTGGAAAACAACACTTGAAAACGTCAGGAGATCTTGCCCATTTTTTACCCTTGAGCGCGCGAATTTTAAGTACCCTAATTTTCCGGTGTATAAGCCCGCGCTAGTATCATGTAAAAACACCTCCACTGGTGCAGTGTACTTGAGTACATCTAGAGACAACCGTAACATGCCCATAGGGGTAATTCGATATGCTGATTACGAAAACGACATTCATTTTTAGCGGTGGCGCCATCTGGCGCCAGTTGGCGCCACCTTGTCACGACCCTTGTTTTCACCAAAATCGGTGTAAACTTCTGTATAGGGGTTATTTGGGCCCTGATTACGAATATGACATTCGTTTTTGGCGTTAACGTTGTTTAGTGCATATTTCTCGGTTGGAGAGCGCAGACGAGCAGAAAATAGGCGTCAAACAGCGCCAGCGCCGATAATGAATGTCATATTCGTAATCAGGGTCCCAAATAACCCCTATACTGAAGTTTACACCGATTTTGGCGAAAACAAGGGTCGTGACAAGGTGGCGCCAACTGGCGCCAGATGGCGCCAGCGCTGAAAATGAAAGTCATTTTCGTGATCAGGGCATCGACTTACCTCTATAGGCAAATTTGCGGTGGTTTCTAAGGTGTACAAAGTTACACTGCACGAGCGGGGGTGGTTTTACGTGAAATCGGCGCGGGCTTATACACCGGAAATTAGGGTAATGGGCCAGATTGGGGCCTTTTGCCTCTTTCTTGGGGTCGGAACTCATTCCTTCAGATTTTTACACGAATTCGTTGATTTGGACGTGTTTTGGGATGCACAACTCAGGATGGATTCAGGTGGATGAATCCCGTTGTTGAGTAGGATCACCTATTCACAAATGGTAGAGATGTTCCATTTTCTAGACTCCAATCGCAGCAAGAGCAAGAGCGTTAGGGCTTTGCAGAGTCCGCTTCGACCTCCATTTTTCCCCGTCCAGAGCACGCCGGTGTCTGTGCTCTCTCATACTTGCGTTCTTTCGCCTAACTCTATTCCTTCGTGCTCAGGCTCTCGTTGTCTTTGCGCATAAAGTCGGCATAAATTAATAGGTCGTTAGCTCCAGCGTTCTTTGACGGATACTTTTTCCCTCTTCCCTCTACTACCGGCCAATTACCATGCTCGTGCGCAAAAACACATCAGGTTTGATCCGGGGACGAACCTTTCAAGGCACGGGTCGAGATCAAATTTGTGTGCTATTTTGGTTACAGAGTTAGGCAATGAAGTGCGAAGAGGAATGGTGATGAGAAAAAAAGCAAAATGACTAGAAAACACTTCAAACTTTCTACGTCGTTAGGTCGCTTGTGGCGTGACGAGGACACCAATCGCTGCGGGGAGGGGAAGAAGAGAAAAGGATACGCGAGAGGGGCAAACGTCACTTTGGCGAAATTTCATAAAGGAATGGCACGCAGCGCTGGCAACGGCAAATCAAGGCCTTAGCGCGCTTGTCACTATTTCTCCCTCGGGACAGTGTCCCGAACCTGTGCTTCTCATTCAACAAAACCGGGCACTTTGCACCGGAATCATGGGCATAGCTTTAGTAACTACAAAAATGCTGGTGGCACTAAATTCCAGGTCGAATTCCTACTAGATCAAGCAGCGCCTATGAATTTATAGGGACGTCTAACACGCGATCTGAGCAATTACGGTTGGCGTGTCAGCTGACCCGCAACTTTTTATATTTGTTAGTTACAGGTTCGGGGGCTAATACAGTTCTAATAGAAGTAGGTAATATGCACAATATTGAGTGCTCCCTCCTTTTTGCCCATGTCCTGTTTTCCATTAATAAGCGAATTATATGAACACTAACCACTGTCCGTTACGTAGTAGCAAACTGCGGCAGAGATACTCACCGCTTTGGTTCACATAGACCAGGGCTGTTGCGACCGCTCTTTCAAACCTGTCGCTCTGGTAGGTACGTATGCGCATCGACCTTGTGAAAAAAGATCTACAAAAAAGAAACAACTAGTATAGCGCAAGTTGACGCGAAACCTGCCACATAAGGAGCGAGTTGACCAAATCTGTTACAAAGTTACTCGACTAGTCCTCTGTAATCAAAAATAACCCTAAAAACCCTGAAGTCGGGAAATGAGTGGCTATTATTTTTAACGGCACACCAATCTCAGCAGTTCTCTGTCTGTATTCCTCAAAACGTAGGATGAAAAGGGAAACGACTTGCTATAGGACTGCGTAATTTGTAGAAGAACCTGTATTGAAAAGAAAGTTTCTAAACTAACCGGTTTCATTAGCTCTTCTTTCAGAATGGCTTGCTCAAGATTGCCAACCACAGGTACGGCTGGAACCACAGGAAATGATCCCTGATCTCTCAGAGGAGGGCTCTCAACGCCTGGAAATGCTCCCATTCTTCAATGTGTTGAGCTTGATTTGTTAAGATATCAAAATGCAGAGATGAAAGCGAACATAAGCTAATGTAAAAAGACTTTGAGGTGGTTTCGAAAATAATAAGAACTCCGTAATAGCTGAAATCATTTTTCATCGAGTTCACAAAAATGTGATCTAAAAGCAACGGCCCAGATGAGGTCGTATCGAAGGATCTGTTTTGTGTGTGGGATAGAGTAGAGTACAACAGTTCGTGCCCTCTGCAGTTATTCCAATTTTTGCAGGAGAACAAGCTTAGGGTGGGTGTGAATGCGCAAGCCGAGGCCGCGTACCCCGGCAATTTCCTCTTTCGCAAAAATTAAAGTCACTAAGTCGGACGGCATGAAATGTTGTACCACGTGCTGCCTCCTTATTGGAATGGACCCTAGATTCTGGCTCACAATGGTCGTAAAACTTTTAAACTCACTGGGGTTATATGGGTCATCTCGTAGTGGTAAGACAAACGGCTGCCTGACGTAGATCGGCCTTCCAAAGACGTACACCTTTGTCACAGGTGTATTATTTGGTGGAAAGCTATACTGTTGACCCTGGAAAGTCCATTATGAGAGGAGGTCGTAACTACCGCTGTTACTCAGTCCCTACCTGGCCTTGTACCAGAGCTTCAGAGTTGTTGCTCACGGTTTTTTCAGAGCTATCGTTTGCTCTGAGAAGGTAAGCCTTTTCAGTATCATTGAGAAGTCAAATTCTGATACGAATAATGCTATTTATAATGCCTTTGAAAGTTTGGAGCAAAAAAAAAAAATAAAAAAAATAATTATAAATATAAAAACTCGTGAGTTTGACGGCACCAAACACAGAACCACATCAAAACCAGACATATGGTATAACAGCTCTGGTAGTTGAGTTAGCTGCGTGGTTAACCTTACCTGAGACTACGCTAGTCTGCAAAGTTTTAAGGGGGGGGGACTTTAGGACTACTATGGCTTATTAACAGCTCTGCGGACATCACAACGGGCCCTTCCTTCTATACTGTAGTGTAGCAGTTTCTCTCTACGCATAATAAACTTCCATCGAGCCATGTTACTCGGCAATAACACATCATGGAAAGTTACTCTCGTCTTTGAGGTTTCCAAAACAATGTACTTATTTTCGTGCAACATACCTATATTCATCGCTAATCTAGCAAAGGAACTAATACAGTTTTGAAATCACATCACAATTTCAAGGAAATAATACGGATGATCAAATCAGCCAAAATTCCAAGGCGGTGATAGGCTACATGCGGCTTTAAGAACGGCTGATTTCGACGCATGGTCTCCAGCCACACTTTGAAATGTGCCTTTCATTGAGCCACAATTCAGAATACTCTTTGGTCCCTAAGAATAAAAAAAACAAAAAACGTATTCTATTTTGTCATTCAAATATTAGATATAACAAGTCTTGGGTCAAACACAAAGTCCCTCGTCAAATTGCGAATGACTGTGGCTAAGAGAATCTCTTGTTGCTACATATGCAACAGAAATCCATGAATTCGGCGAACAACGGCTGGACTGAGCTTAGTGAACTGCGCAAAGCATCGCAATCGCAGAGCCAGGGTGTCCTTCACCGTAATCGCAACTAGTTCCTACCCTTTATAACGTTTCGGCGACTCCGAAAAGGAAAGCTGCAAAAGTGTCTCTGAAAGTGGAGTATTATCCGCTGCCGAAGAAGTGCACTGAAGTGAAATAGGACAAGGGGGACAGTAAAAAAAAGCGAAGAGTAGCGAAACTGCCCAACAGAGGGTGCTTGAGTAAACGTTTCATACTTAAGACTTTAAAAAATGATAAATAAATTAATATTAGTGGACACGAGCAGTCAGCAATTCCACTTAATCTCCTAGTTGCGAATATGTCTGTAAGTTCATCTTTCAATAGTGGATAGATGCAAAGAATGAGCCTACTCTGCATACGAGCAGTCCCGGATTACGTCCTTCGGGATGCGACGCTAACGTACGTTCCACTTGGATGTCTCAATGACTTTCAGTGGCACTCTCAAACGACATTCGGGTTGCAGCCGCAAACATAATCTTGAATCTATCTCCTCTCCTGGGTCAAATGTCTGTCTCGATTTTCGGTTTTTTCTGGTTGGAGAGCTTGGAAAGCCTACAGTAGTGGGGGGCGTCTTTCGAGGTTGATCCTGACCCCTCTGTAAGAGCACTTCTCGTGGCTAAATGACATATGTACGATTGGACACGGGAAGAAAATATATGCTTAGATTGTCGGTGTCGAACGAATCCTATTTAAGTTTGGTTATTAATTGGTTTTGTTTATTGGAGGAATATTAGAGAAGATCATGAAGATCAATTATGCATTCAACCCTTCTTTTATGCTGTCATTCATTCAGATGGTCGACCTATGCCAAAAAAAAGGAATTTTATCAACAGCAAGTGCTAGGTCGCGGGTAAAGCGGCCACTGCTGTCCTCACAATAAGAGGCTCGCCGTTTTCTCCACTTTTTATTCACTTTTGATCCAAATTCATTATCTCCGCTCGTTCGAATTCCTCTTTACGGAGACAAGCTCGTTTTGAGTTTGTATTCTTCGACCTGGGCATTCCTCCACTGATTTTCTTCTATCGGAAGAAGAGAAACTCCTGAAAGCGATATGCAAACCCATGATTGTAGCCCATAATCGTTGGGGTTTTCAGTAACCTTTAGCGCTCTTGCTATTTTACTAAATACACAGCCCAGTCTGAGGCGTTTGTTCGAATCTCGAGAAACTGGAGGGCAAGAACGACAAAGAGGTGATGGATGGTTGAAGGAGAACGAGCTGCCGTATTCAAAAAATTTCTACAGCTTCCGCCAATCTTGTTCAAAAGTGCTTTTTCGATACATTTCTTAAGCCTTCCGCTTTTCTAATATTTTCCATAGTTGAGCCGCGTGCAGCTGGATGCTGCACTTACCTTTATCTTCACAAAGGCTGCGGTATCACAAGTACAATATCATTGCTTTTTCTAAATTCTAGTAAAATTACGTAGCGATTTCTTTTCGAGCAACTCAAATTTTTATTTTTGTCGGAATGGAAGTCGTGTTATAGCAGCCCATACTTCCATAAAGCGTACTCTTAAACTGCATCATTCGAGCAAGAGCCAGCTCGAGTATTAGAAAGATCAAAGCTTAAAATAAGGGTTCAATCACAGCAAACGTTACCGATCATAGATGGCTGCCATACTCGCTTAAAAAATGGGAGAGTGAAAACCAAACCGCGAATGAAAATCTGTACATTCGATTCAATAGTAATCCAATCGTCGAGTATCATTCGGAAAACCACGTTTATCAGGGAAGTACTTTTTCCGCTCTACAAAACCTTATTTATCATTTTCTTTAAAACTATAAAAGCACCCAGATATAGTGCTTAAAAATTGAAAATCCTAAAAAAAAGCGAAAATCGGCAATCTGACAGCTGCTCTCTTCGGTTAACATTGAAAAAACGCAGTGCGCGATTTCTTCAGAATTCATTGTTCTTATCTAAGGTTGACCAAAATCTTCAGCTTGAATTCAAACCACATTTAGGACTTACAAATTGACAATAATGAGGACTTCGAAAACGAGCTCAATATCTTTTTTCATTCTAGATCTGCTTAATTCCCGCAAAATACCATCAAAGTGGTAAACATTGTCGAAGTGAACATCACTGATCAGTTTCATTTTCCATTTTTGATTTTCTATTTCCATTTCTAAAAATTGTGTGCAAAAATGAAAAACGCAAGCGCGACGATAATAAGTTCCAACCTAATACATGTGCGCTTCGGAATTTCTTGCTCACCACGGCACAGAAAAAAATCCATCCGAAAAACTCTAACCAACAACTCTTGACAGAAAAAAAAAGCTTCATATCTTGCCTCTCTTTGCAGATGCGTACGTGCATTAGAATCTTCACCAGTGATAATTGAAGTGCTCTTTTTGTCTTGAACTGCAAAATGCCTCACACTTCAAGACACAAAACCCCATCGTGCACTAGTATT